AGTGGTCTCACCACCATTGACGGAATGGAAGAGCTTGATTAAGATTGCATCTTTCTAATAGATTTATAAATAAACATGTCTGCTATATAAATAAAATCGTGTTAGTACAACTGGTTATGTGTTCGTGTGTTTTGTCTTTTAAGTCACGGGTTCAAACCCTTATTATGTAAAATTTTGGTTTTTTAAAATATACAAAACGACATAGTTTTGATGTTTATACACATCGATACACGGAATTAAAAAAAATCTATATACGGCTGAAAGATATATTGCAGGTTGACTCTTACTTTAAGGGTTGATTTGCATTTAATTGGCATGAAGGAGTGCAAATGCTAACCATTTAGATGGTTTATTTGCAGAAAACGTTTCTTTTTTGCTAAAATATTAAAGTGATACTTATCAGAGAAAATCTTTGTCTCTTCATTTTTCAGAAAAAAAGTCGAAGTCCAAATGAAAATATTTTAAATAACGGTGACTAATCGAAATATTCGTTAAACTAAAATGTTCAGTGCTTGGGTAAGCCATGCTGAGAGAAGATTTTGTCTAAATATACTTTTACTGAGCTTTTTAGAATAAAAATATCGACCTCGATTAAAATGTATTGATCGAATTACATAATTATCTTTAGAATTGAATCTTTAGATCAGAGTAAATTACGATGAATGTATAGACATATGATAACGTGTTGTCACGAATTTTTTTTTCTAACACTAACATATGAACTATACAATTATGAAAACAATTACATAGACGATATTATAACTAATGGCGGATTTAAAAATATTTTTGATTGGAAGCAAATATATATATATATGTAAGGTTATAAACTTTTTGCAAACTAAAATATTTTTTTCAAGATATATTATCAGCTTAAAGTGTAAATAACATTTTAAAAAGGCATATATATATTTTTCTGTCTTGTTTTTCAAATATTTTTTTAGAAAATCAACAACGCAAACGAGAGATATTTCCTTGTATATGTTGTATCCCTTATATATTAATTGGAAAGTGATTTGTGAGAAAATGCTTATATGTCATCTCCACAATCACTCTCACCAAAACAATTGTGACATGGGTTGACAAAATTGTGACATGGCAATTTTGAATCAATAACCAAATCTTCTATAATTAATTTATATTTGTTAACATAAATAAATCAAAAGAGTTTTTAACTAATATCTTATCAAATTTTCGTTTTTTAGTATAAAATTATATACAAATTTGGTTTCTCATTTAAAAATAGTTTAGAAGTTGATTATTGTACTAATAAAATTATATAACATTTTTATAGAATATATATTCTTTTTGAAGATAATAATAAAGACTTACCAAATTTTTAAAAGAGATTTTGATATGTCTGTGAAAAAAATTTCTCAAATTTATAACAACAAATATAATTTTTCTTTTGAAATATTTTTTTAACGCAAGAAAATTTGAAAGTAAAAAAAATATTTTTTAATTCGAAAGAAACAAAAAATTTTTTAATATGTGTTTCATTTATAAAATTTATAATTATGATATTGACCTGGAGGATAAAATCGCAAATTCTAACCACTTGTAGGGTTTATTTGTAGAAAACTCTATATTTTAATGTTTTGAAATATTAAATAATTTATTTGTATTCTAAATTCTACTTAAAATAGTCGGACAAACCAAAATTTAACATGTTTTTTCATTTCTAATGTATTAAATTATTATACATTTTGATTTGACATGTTTACATATATAAAATTAATAAATTATTAAATGATAAAACTAAATTTCTGAAAGTTATATTATTAATAAAAAATATATTATTGACTATATAATAAATGAACAATAAAAGAATCAACAGCAATGTCTATAATAAAAAAATCAAAACAACTACATATTTCACATTTTTAAAGATTAAAATTAAAAAAAAAACTATATAAATAATTTAACCGCGTGTACACGGTAGAATCATCTAGTTATAGATAAATGATTACCACAATGATTCAAACAAAGTATATATATTGAATGACTCAAATAATTTTCTACTAATTTTGTTGAACATATCGTATGGTTTACAAAGACATTTTTTATCTAATGCTAAA